GATGCATTCTAAATCGACTTTTAGTATGGCTAAGGTCTGGTTCTTTAAAGTTGAGAGAAAATTACCAAAATGAATTTATTACTTCCTTTAGTAATTTCTTAACAAATTTAAATACTTTAAAGTATGATATCATAAAAGAAAGCTTAAAACGTAAGAATTCGATTGAGATATGACTCATTTTAATATGACTAGTTGTACAGCTAAAACGACGTTGCTTAGACTGTATAAAAATGGATAATACGACAATTACATTTCGCTTAGTAACTTCTTGGTGAATTCAAATATCTTTTTGTGTTATATCTTAAAAGAAAGCTTAATCAATAAGGATACAAATAGGATATGATGTATTCTAAATCGACTTTTAGTATGGTTGAAATTTGGTTGTTTAGGGTTGGGAAAAAATTACCAAAATGAATTTATTACTTCCTTTAATAACTTCTTAGTAAATTCAAATATTTTGAAGTGCGATATCTTAAAAGAAAGCTTAATACGTAAGAATTCAGTTGAGATATGACTCATTTTAATATGATTAGTTGTTCCGTTAAAATGATGTTGCTTAGATTATATAAAAATGGACAATACGACAATTACATTTCCCTTAGTAACTTCGTGGTAAATTCAAATATTTTATTTTGTTATATCTTAAAAGAAAGCTTAATGAATAAGGATTCCAATAGGATATGATGCATTCTAAAACGACTTTTAGTATGGCTGAGGTCTGGTTCTTTAAAGTTGGGAGAAAATTACCAAAATGAATTTATTACTTCCTTTAGTAACTTCTTGGCAAATTCAAATATTTTAAAATGTGGTATTTTAAAAGAAAGCTTAAAACGTAAGAATTCGATTGAGATATGACTCATTTTAATATGACTAGTTGTTTCGTTAAAATGATGTTGCTTAGATTATATAAAAATGCACAATAGGAACATTATATTTCCCTTACTAACTTTTTGGTGAATTCAAATATCTTTTTGTGTTATATCTTAAAAGAAAGCTTAATCAATAAGGATTCGAATAGGATATGATGCATTCTAAATCGACTTTTAGTATGGCTAAGGTTTGGTTGTTTAGAGTTGGGAGAAAATTACCAAAATTTATTACTTCCTTTAGTAACTTCTTGGGAAATTCAAATATTTTAAAATGTGGTATTTTAAAAGAAAGCTTAAAACGTAAGAATTCGATTGAGATATGACTCATTTTAATATGACTAGTTGTTTCGTTAAAATGATGTTGCTTAGATTATATAAAAATGCACAATAGGAACATTATATTTCCCTTACTAACTTTTTGGTGAATTCAAATATCTTTTTGTGTTATATCTTAAAAGAAAGCTTAATCAATAAGGATTCGAATAGGATATGATGCATTCTAAATCGACTTTTAGTATGGCTAAGGTTTGGTTGTTTAGAGTTGGGAGAAAATTACCAAAATTTATTACTTCCTTTAGTAACTTCTTGGGAAATTCAAATATTTTAAAATGTGGTATTTTAAAAGAAAGCTTAAAACGTAAGAATTCGATTGAGATATGACTCATTTTAATATGACTAGTTGTTTCGTTAAAATGATGTTGCTTAGATTATATAAAAATGCACAATAGGAACATTATATTTCCCTTACTAACTTTTTGGTGAATTCAAATATCTTTTTGTGTTATATCTTAAAAGAAAGCTTAATCAATAAGGATTCGAATAGAGTATGATGCATTTTAAATCGACTTTTAGTATGGCTTAGGTCTGGTTCTTTAAAGTTGGGAGAAAATTACCAAAATGAATTTATTACTTCCTTTAGTAACTTCTTAACAATTTCAAATATTTTGAAGTTTGATATCTTAAAAGAATGTATAAAATGAGATTCAATTGAGATATAACTCATTTTAATACGACTAGTTGTACCGCCAAAGTGGTGTTGCTTAGATTAGATAAAAATGGACAATATGAAAATTACATTTCTTGTAGTAACTTCTTTACAAATTCAAATATTTTGAAGTGTGATATCTTAAAATAAAGCTTAAAACGTAAGAATTCGATTGAGATATGACTCATTTTAATATGATTAGTTGTACCCCTAAAATGATGTTGCTTAGATTATATAAAAATGGACAATATGAAAATTACATTTCCCTTAGTAACTTTTTCCTCAATTTAAATATTTTGTTGTGTTATATCTTAAAAGAAAGCTTAATTAATAAGGATTCGAATGGTATATGATGCGTTTTAAGTTTAGTTTTAGTATAGCTGAGGTGTGGTTGTTTAGAGTTGGGAAAAAGTTACCAAAATGAATTCTTTACTTCCTTTAATAACTTCTTAATAAATTCGAATATTTTGAAGTGTCATATCTTAAAAGAAAGCTTAAACCGTAAGAATTCGATTGAGATATGACTCATTTTAATACGACTAGTTGTACCGCTAAAACGACGTTGCTTAGATTGTATAAAAATGGATAATATGACAATTACATTTCCCTTAGTAACTTCTTGGTGAATTCAAATATCTTTTTGTGTTATATCTTAAGAGAAAGCTTAATCAATAAGGATTGGAATGTGGTATGATGCAGTCTAATTCGATTTTTAGTATCGATGAGGTGCGGTTACTTAATTGTGAAGTGTTATATTTTAATAAGTAAAGACAAGCTAAAATCTTCAAAAAAAAAAACCTGATCAAAATACACACAAACAACACGAAAACAAAAAGAATTTAGTAAATCTTTGGCTCTATCTGGTATACCTGATTTGTCGTATCAGTCAAATCAATCAAACCAAATCGAAGCAGGCCGAAAATATCATCCAACATAGAAGGAAAGACTTATAACAAAAAGAGAAACATTGAAAATAGAACAGCCGAACGTTTTCTTAATTAAAAAACACTCGGCATTTGGTTTGATTGAGCGTGCCAATTAACGAGATTATTTGTCAGCAGTGTCTTGGTCGTTTGCAGCAACACGCAGCCCTGATCGGCGGTCCGAATGCTACGTCGTGTCCCCTCTGCCACAAGATGTTCCTCGGGGGCGAAGCCCTCATGGAACATATGAAGCACACGCATAAAGATCCGAACGCCTCAGGTGTTGCCAGTAAGTATTTACAAAAGAGTTTTTCGTAGGCGAAACGGATTTTTCATTAATTTGGTGTAGTCGTATTTTATTTTTGTGTATTTATTTATTGCTGTCTCAACCCCTATTATTATTATTATTCCCCCCAGACTAACCGAAAAAAATAAGGCCCCCTTTTTTTATTATTTTTACGTTGAACATTTATGTTGTTTTTTTTTTTGGGATTTTGGTCATTTCCGAAATTTTTCCACTATAAAATATAAATATAAAAAAGAAAAAAAAATTGAAAATTAGATGTTTGCTCGAGCCTACGACAATCCGAGAATCGCTGCCCCCCAAAAGGTACGTGAAACCAAATCTTTTTGTTATACTTTATTTTTTTTTTGTTGATTTTATCCAAAATTTTTTTTTCTTTCTTGATTTGGATCCTTAATTATTTTTTTTGGTCCTTTTTTCATCTATAAATCATCAATCTAAGTCGAGAAGCACTTAAAAACCGAAAGAGGTCCCTTTTTTCCATCGATTAGCTGGCAAAAAGCTCGAGCTTTCAATACTTACGTCTTTTGGGGAGCTTCCAACCCCAAATTTTTTTCTGTCTCTCCACGAAACAATAAGACTCAACCCTTTTTATCATTTTCTTGGATTCCTATTCAAAGTTATCTAGTTAAGAAAAGATTTGATCCAAAAAAAGGGGGCTTATTTATTAATATTTTTTTAATTTGTTCCATTAATGCATGTCTTTATTTATGTTGATTATTTATAATTATTTTTAATTATTTATTTAAGCTTTTTTATGCGGTTACCCTTTTTCCCACACCAAATTTAACACTAAAATAGCTTCTTTTATTAATTAATTTGTTCTTCTTGTTTTTTATTATTTTCTGGGTTACTTAGAATTAAAAATTAGTGAGGTTTTGGTTCTATTTCTCGTTTAAATGGTGCTTTGTTAAAAAGAATTAAATCAAAAGAGATCCTTGGGTGCTTCGCTTGACCTTTCTTTCCCTTTTTCTGTTGACGCAATCGATCCCTATTTAGCGAAAAGGCGGACCGCGAACCATCCGTGTCCCGTTTGTGGAAAACACTACGTGAACGAGGGTTCCTTAAGGAAGCACCTGGCCTGCCACCCGGAAACGTCCCAGCTAAGTAGTCCGCTAAGGATGTGGCCCTGTTCGGTTTGCCAAGCCGTTTTCACCCACGAATCAGGTAAGATTTTATTGCCAAACTATTTTTTTATTTATTACATTATTTTAAAAAAATCACCAACATTTAAAAAAAGGATACAGGTAAGAGCATGTTTTCGTTTTTTGTGCAACATCAAAGGGATCATGTTTAAAATCTCTATCCTTTTTTTATGATAATCTCTTTTTTGGAAATGCACCAAAATCTTCATGATTCATTTTGTAAAAACAAACAAGGATGGATTTAAAAAGATTTCTTTCGCCAGGACTTTTAACACACATGGAGCATATGAGGATGGATCCAAAGCACCAATTTGCCGCCCAATACGTCTTATCGAGAGCGGCGGCGGAACGAAGGGAACGAGAAAACTTACTGGCTGCCGTTTCTTCAGGAGGGAGTCTCTTGGGTTTACCGGGAATGGCTGCAAATTGTACGTAATTAAGTCAAAAAAATATATTATGTGAAACCCATTAAAATAACACTATTTTAATGGGTTATATCTGTCTAGAGTTAGGAGAAAATTACCAAAATTTATTATTAACAAATTCAAATATTTTAAAGTGTGATATCTTAAAAGAAAGCTTAGAATGTAAGAATTCGATTGAGATATGACTCGTTTTAATATGACTAGTTGTACCGCTAAAACGACGTTGCTTAGATTGTATAAAAATGGACAATATGACAATTACATTTCCCTTAGTAACTTCTTAGTGAATTCAAATCTCTTGTTGTGATATATCTTAAAAGAAAGCTTAATCAATAAGGATTCGAACAGGGTATGATGCATTCTAAATCTACTTTTAGTATGGCTAACGTTTGGTTGTTTAGAGTTGAGAGAAAATTACCAAAATTTATTACTTCCTTTTGTAACTTTTTAACAAATTCAAATATTTTGAAGTGTGATATCTTAAAAGAAAGCTTAGTATGTAAGAATTCGATTGAGAAATGAGTCATTTTAATATGACTAGTTATTCCGCTAAAATTATGTCGCTTAGAATATGTAAAAATGGACAATATGACAATTACATTTCCCTTAGTAACTTCTTGGTGAATTCAAATATTTTGAAGTGTGATATCTTAAAAGAAAGCTTAGTATGTAAGAATTCGTTTGAGATATGACTCATTTTAATATGACTAGTTGTTCCGCTGAAATGATGTTGCTTAGAATATGTAAAAATGGACAATATGTAAATTACATTTCCCTTAGTAACTTCTTGGTGAATTCAAATATCTTGTGATATATCTTAAAATAAAGCTTAATCAATAAGGATTCGAATAGGGTATGATGCATTCTAAATCGACTTTTAGTATGGCTGATGTGTGGTTGTTTAGAATTGGAAGAAAGCTACCAAAATGAATTTTTACTTCCTTTCGTAACTTCTTAACAATTGCAAATATTTTAAAGTGTGATATCTTAAAAGAAAGCTTAGTATGTAAGAATTCGTTTGAGATATGACTCATTTTAATATGACTAGTTGTTCCGCTAAAATGATGTCGCTTAGAATATGTAAAAATGGACAATATGTAAATTACATTTCCCTTAGTAACTTCTTGGTGAATTCAAATATCTCGTTGTGATATATCTGAAAATAAAGCTTAATTAATAAGAATTCGAATAGGGTATGATGCATTCTAAATCGACTTTTAGTATGGCTGATGTGTGGTTGTTTAGAATTGGAAGAAAACTACCAAAATTAATTTTTACTTCCTTTAGTAACTTCTTAACAATTGCAAATATTTTAAAGTGTGATATCTTAAAAGAAAGCTTAGAATGTAAGAATTCGTTTGAGATATGACTCATTTTAATATGACTAGTTGTTCCGCTAAAATGATGTTGCTTAGAATATGTAAAAATGGACAATATGAAAATTACATTTCCCTTAGTAACTTCTTAGTAAATTCAAATATCTTGTTGTGATATATCTTAAAAGAAAGCTTAATCAATAAGGATTCGAATAGGGTATGATGCATTCTAAATCGACTTTTAGTATGGCTAACGTTTGGTTGTTTAGAGTTGGGAGAAAATTACCAAAATTTTTTACTTCCTTTTGTAACTTTTTAACAAATTCAAATATTTTGAAGTGTGATACCTTAAAAGAAAGCTTAGTATGTAAGAATTCGATTGAGAAATGACTCATTTTAATATGACTAGTTATTCCGCTAAAATTATGTCGCTTAGAATATGTAAAAATGGACAATATGACAATTACATTTCCCTTAGTAACTTCTTGGTGAATTCAAATATCTTGTTGTGTGATATCTTAAAAGAAAGCTTAAAACGTAATAATTCGATTCAGACATGGCTCATTTTAATATGACTTGTTGTTCCGCTAAAATGATCTTGCTTAGAATATGTAAAAATGGACAATTTGAAAATTACATTTCCCTTAGTAACTTCTTGGTGAATTCAAATATCTCGTTGTGATATATCTTAAAATAAAGCTTAATTAATAAGGATTTGAATAGCATATGATGCATTCTAAACCGATTTTTAGTATGGCTGAGGTGTGGTTGTTTAGAGTTGGGAGAAAATTACCAAAATTGATTACTTTCTGTTGTAACTTTTTAACAAATTCAAATATTTTGCATTGTGATATCTTAAAAGAAAGCTTAGTATGTAAGAATTCGTTTGAGATATGACTCATTTTAATATGACTAGTTGTTCCGCTAAAATGATGTTGCTTAGAATATGTAAAAATAGACGATATGATAATTACATTTAGCTTAGTAACTTCTTGGTGAATTCAAATATCTTGTTGTGTGATATCTTAAAAGAAAGCTTAATCAATAAGGATTCGAATATGGTATGATGCATTCTAAATCGACTTTTAGTATGGCTAATGTTTGGTTGTTTAGAGTTGGAAGAAAATTACCAAAATTTACTACTTCCTTTTGTAACTTTTTAACAAATTCAAATATTTTGAAGTGTGATATCTTAAAAGAAAGCTTAGTATGTAAGAATTCGTTTGAGATATGATTCGTTTTAATATGACTAGTTGTACCGCTAACACGACGTTGCTTAGATTGTATAAAAATGGACAATATGACAATTACATTTCCCTTAGTAACTTCTTAGTGAATTCAAATCTCTTGTTGTGATATATCTTAAAAGAAAGCTTAATCAATAAGGATTCGAATATGGTATGATGCATTCTAAATCGACTTTTAGTATGACTAACGTTTGGTTGTTAAGAGTTGGGAGAAAATTACCAAAATTTATTACTTCCTTTTGTAACTTTTTATCAAATTCAAATATTTTGAAGTGTGATATCTTAAAAGAAAGCTTAGTATGTAAGAATTCGTTTGAGATATGACTCATTTTAATATGACTAGTTGTTCCGCTAAAATGATGTTGCTTAGAATATGTAAAAATGGACAATATGACAATTACATTTCCCTTAGTAACTTCTTGGTGAATTCAAATATTTTGAAGTGTGATATCTTAAAAGAAAGCTTAAAACGTAAGAATTCGATTGAGATATGACTAGTTGTTCCGCTAAAATGATGTTGCTTAGAATATGTAAAAATGGACAATAAGAAAATTACATTTACCTTAGTAACTTCTTGGTGAATTCAAATATCTTGTTGTGATATATCTTAAAAGAAAGCTCAATCAATAAGGATTCGAAGAGGGTATGATGCATTCTAAATCGACTTTTAGTATGGCTGAGGTGTGGTTAGATTCTGCAGTCCTTGGTTATTACGTTCTTTTGGAATGCCCCAAAATTGTAACTAAAATTGTTTAAAAAATCGCGCTGAGCTTAAATATAAAAATTAAGAAATGAGTTATACACCAAATTGAAGCTAAAAGTGTCCTCTTTAAAATGATATATAACATATTATTAGTTAATCTTCATATTAGATCCAAAAAAAATTTATCTTAGATGTTGCAATTTCGATTTAGTAAACATTATTTTCTTTGAATAATCGCGTTATGCTTAAATATGAAAATTATAAAATGAGTTATACACCAAATTAAAGCTAAAAGTATCCTCTTTAAAATGATATATAATACTTTATTATTCAACTTTAAATTTAACCCAAAAAAATTTTTGCAGTTTCGACTATAATTTAATCTATGTAGAAAAATCGTTAATTTTAATCAATCCCGTTGGGCTTAGATATAAAAATTATAAAATGAGATATACACCAAATTAAAGCTAAAAGTATCCTCTTTAAAATGATATATAACACTTTATTATTCAACATTAAATTTAGCTCAAAATTTTGTTTTTCTAAAACGTTACAATTTCGATTATAATTTGATTTAAATAAAAAAAATCGTATACTTTGAACAATCACGCTAGGTTTAAATATAAAAATTATAAAATGAGTTATATACCAAATTAAAGCTAAAAGTGTCCCCTTTAAAACGTTATACAACACTTTGTTATATAACTTTAAATTTAGCCCAAAAAATTGTTTACAATTTCGACTATTAATTTAATCTAAGTAAAAAAATCGTTAACTTTAAGCAATCCTATTGGGCTTAAATATAAAAATTATAAAATGAGTTATACACCAAATTAAAGCTAAAAGTATCCTCTTTAAAACGATATATCACACTTTATTATTTCTAAAATGTTGCAATTTCTATTATAACTTAATTTAAGTAAAGAAATCGTTAAATTTAAAAAAATCGCACTGAGCTTATTAATTGGGTTAATTTATGCAACCAATATCACAGTATATGTGTTGCAATACGCAAATCGCGTTATTGGTTGCATACTTGCAATGATGACGTCGGGTATGATAATTAATTAACACACTGTATATCTGAGCAATTTTGTTCTTTTTTAGCGAGTGCAAGTCCGATGTGCCCATCTCCCAGCGCCCATAGCGACAGCTCCTCTGGTAACGGCAGGTTATCATCAGCTGGTTCGGAAACCGGCGGCTTAAACAATAACAATAATAATTGCAATACGAAGTTGGGGGATATGTTAAGAAGTAATAACGGTGAAAGGTTCCAATACAACGTCGAGGAGCAGATTCAGAACGCGAATCGAATGGCTGCATTAGCGACGATGGTGAATCAAGGCGCGGTGCCCCCCGGCTTGGGGACGGACACTTCGACCGCGGCGAACATTGCCAACATTGCCAATTTAGCGATGCGATTAGGGGTGACACAAGTAAGGATCTAAAAGAAACATTTCTTTTGCTTGCTCCGATCCGCTCAACGAGGGTTGGAAAATATAGATTTAAACTGAAGGATTTTTATTCGCAGGCGAATCAGGTGACTAATTCGAGTAACCCCTCAACGCCACCGATTACAAACGAGACGCTCTCCATGTCCATGAACGCGATGCGCGCCATGGACAGCATCCGTAGCATGGACGCGGCACGCAACTCGCTCATGGACATGTCTGGGACGCAACAGGGACAACAACAGGACGCGCTCAGGATGCACCAGCAAGCGGAAGCTTTGCTTAGATCGCAAGCGGAAGCTGCTCTTAGACTAGCAATGACACAAGTGAGTTCAATCTGGGATGCAACTTTCAATTGCGTTCTTGCACCTCGACCTTGTTATGATGAGTTCAGAAATGTGTTTTATCTTAGAATGAAGCTGAGACTCTCTATTTTTGAATTAGGTATAAAAATGTTTATGTTTGATATAGAAAAATTTTAGGAAATAAATTTACAAGATGAACCAGTTCAGGTAGAATCACATCTACCTTATCATGATGAGTTCAGAAATGAGTTATATCTTAAAATGAAGCTGAAAGTCTCTATTTATGAATGAGGTATAAAAATGTTTAGGTTTCATATAGAAAAATTGTAAGAAATAAATTTAGAAGATGTAGTAAAAATTAAAAGAATCACATTTACCTTATTATGATGAGTTCAGAAATGAGTTATATCTTAAAATGAAGCTGAGAGTCTCTATTTTTGAATTCGGTATAAAAATGTTTAGGTTTGATATAGAAAAATGTTAGGAAATAAATTTAGAAGATGAACCAGTTCATTTATGCATTGTCAGAAAGAAGTAAAAATTAAAACAATCACCTCTGCCTTATTATGATGAGATCAGAAACGAGTTATATCTTAAAATGAAGCAGAGAGTTTCTATTTTTGAATTAGGTATAAAAATGTTTAGCTTAGATATAGAAAAATTTTAGGAAATAAATTTAGAAGATGAACCAGTTCATTTATGCATTGTTAGAAAATAGTAAAAATTAAAAAAATCAGCTCTGCCTTATTATGATGAGTTCAGAAATGAGTTATATCTTAAAATGAAGCTGAGAGTCTCTATTTTTGAATGAGGTGTAAAAATATTTAGGTTTGATATAGAAAAATTTTAGGAAATAAATTTAGAAGATGAACCAGTTCATTTATGCATTGTTAGCAAATAGTAAAAATTAAAAAAATCAGCTCTGCCTTATTATGATGAGTTCAGAAATGAGTTATATCTTAAAATGAAGCTGAGAGTCTGTATTTTTGAATTAAGTATAAAAATGTTTAGGTTTGATATAGCAAAATTTTAGGAAATAAATTTAGAAGATGAACCAGTTGATTTATGCATTGTCAGAAAAGAGTAAAAATTAAAACAATCACTTCTACCTTGTTATGATGAGATCAGAAATAAGTTACATCTTAAAATGAAGCTGGAAGTCTCTATTTTTGAATTGGGTATAAACATGTTTAGGTTTGATATAGAAAAATTTTAGGAAATAAATTTAGAAGATGAACTACTTTATTTATGCATTGTCAGAAAGCAGTAAAAATTAAAAGAATCACCTCTGCCTTATTATGATGAGTTCCGAAATGAGTTATATCTTAAAATGAAGCTGAGCGTCTCTATTTTTGATTGAGGTTTAAAAATGTTTAGGTTTGATGTAGAAAAATTTTAGGAAATAGATTTAGAAGATGAACCAGTTCATTTATGGAATATCAGAAAATAGTAAAAATTAAAAGAATCACCTCAACCTTGTTGTGTTGAGTTCAGAAATGAGTTATATCTCGAAATGAAGCTAAGAGTTTCTATTTTTGATTGAGGTATAAAAATGTTTAAGTTTGATACAGAAAAATTTTAGAAAATAAATTTAGAGGATGAACCAGTTCATTTATGCCTTGTCTGAAAATAGTAAAAATTAAAGGAATCACCTCTGCCTAATTATGATGAGTTCATAAATAAGTTATATTTTAAAATGAAGCTGAGAGTCTCTATTTTTGAATGAGGTGTAAAAATGTTTAGGATTGATATAGACAAATTTTAGGAAATAAATTTAGAAGATGAACCAGTTCATTTATGCATTGTCAGAAAGGAGTAAAAATTAAAAAAATCACCTCTTCCTTATTATGATGAGTTCAAAAATGAGTTATATCTTAAAATGAAGCTGAAAGTCTCCATTTTTGAATAAGGTATAATAATGTTTAGGTTTGGTATCGAAAAATTTCAGGAAATAAATTTAGAAGATGAACCAGTTCATTTATGCATTGTCAAAAAATAGTAAAAATTAAAAAAATCACCTCTACCTTGTTATGATGAGTTCAGAAATGAGTTATATCTTAAAATGAAGCTGAAAGTCTCTATTTTTGAATTAGGTATAAAAATGTTTAGGTTTGATATAGAAAAATTTGAGGAAATAAATTTAGAAGATGAACCAGTTCATTTATGCATTGTCAGAAAAGAGTAAAAATTAAAAGAATCACCTCTGCCTTATTATGATGAATTTAGAAATGAGTTATATCTTAAAATGAAGCTGAAAGTCTCTATTTTTGAATTAGGTATAAAAATGTTTAGGTTTGATATAGAAAAATTTTAAGAAATAAATTTAGAAGATGAACTAGTTCATTTATGCATTGTCAGAAAAGAGTAAAAATTAAAAGAATCACCTCTGCCTTATTATGATGAGTTCAGAAATGAGTTATATCTTGAAATGAAGCTGAGAGTTTCTATTTTTGAATTGGGTATAAAAATGTTTAGGTTTGATATAACAAAATTTTAGGAAATAAATTTAGAAGATGAACCAGTTCATTTATGGATTGTCAAAAAATAGTAAAAATTAAAAGAATCACCTCTTCCTTATTATGATGACTTCAGAAATGAGTTATATGTTAAAACGAAGCTGAGAGTCTCTATTTTTGAATTAGGTATAATAATGTTTAGGTTTGATATAGAAAAATTTTTGGAAATAAATTTAGAAGATGAACCAGTTCATTTATGGATTGTCAGAAAGGAGTAAAAATTAAAAGAATCACCACTGCCTTATTATGACAAGTTCAGAAATGAGTTATATCTTAAAATGAAGCTAAGAGTCTCTATTTTTGAATTAAGAATAAAAATGTTTAGATTTGATATACAAAAATTTGAGGAAATAAATTTAGAAGATAAACCAGTTCATTTATGGATTGTCAAAAAATAGTAAAAATTTAAAAAATCGCCTCTACCTTGTTATGATGAGTTCAGAAATGAGTTATATCTTAAAATGAAGCTGAGAGTCTCTATTTTTGAATTAGGTATAATAATGTTTAGGTTTGATATAGAAAAATTTTAGGAAATAGATTTAGAAGTTGAACAAGTTCATTTATTCATTGTCAGAAAATAGAAAAATTAAAAAAATCACCTCAACCTTGTTATGATGAGTTTAGAAATGTCTTATGTCTTAAAATGAAGCTGAAAGTCTGTATTTTTGAATGACGTATAAAAATGTTTAGGTTTGATATAGAAAAATTTTAGGAAATAAATTTAGAAGAATAACTAAATTGGTTTTTTTATCTTATTGGCTATAAATCAAAAATGAAACAGTTTGGAAGAAATTTTTTTAATTTCGTTATACTGTATCTTAAAGTAGAAACTTTAATTTGGTATCAAAATCACTTCTTCAATTCCAAAAATAAGCCTAGTACGATTTTTTGAAAATCATCCATTTTTTCTTAATATTCAAATTTGTTCTTTTTTATCTTATTGGTTATAAATCAAAAATGACAAAGATGGGGCAAAATTTGTTTAATATCATTATGCGGCATCTTAAACTACAAAGTTTGGGTTTTAATTTGATACCAAAATCACTTCTTCAATTCCAAAAATAAGCCCAGTACGATTTTTTGAAAATCATCAATTTTTTCTTAATATTCAAATTTGCTCTTTTTTATCTTATTGGTTATAAATCAAAAATGATAAAGATGGGGCAAAATTTTTTTAATATCATTATGTGGCATCTTAAACTACAAAGTTTGGGCTTTAATTTGATACCAAAGTCACTTCTTCAATTCCAAAAATAAGCCCAGTACGATTTTTTGAAAATCATCAATTTTTTTTTAATATTCAAATTTGCTCTTTTTTATCTTATTGGTTATAAATCAAAAATGATAAAGATGGGGTAAAATTTGTTTAATATCATTATGTGGCATCTTAAACTTCAAAGTTTGGCCTTTAATTTGATACCAAAGTCACTTCTTCAATTTCAAAAATAAGCCTAGTACAATTTTTTGAAAATCATAAATTTTTTCTTAATATTCAAATTTGTTCTTTTTTATCTTATTGGTTATAAATCAAAAATGATAAAGATGGGGTAAAATTTGTTTAATATCATTATGTGGCATCTTAAACTTCAAAGTTTGGGCCTTAATTTGATACCAAAATCACTTCTTCAATTCCAAAAATAAGCCTAGTACAATTTTTTTGAAAATCATCAATTTTTTCTTAATATTCAAATTTGCTCTTTTTTATCTCATTGGTTATAAATCAAAAATGATAAAGACGGGGAAAAATTTTTAACATCGCTATATGGTTTTTTAAAGTAGAAAGTTTCAACTTTAATTTGACATCAAAATCATTTCTTTAATCCCAAAAGTAAGCCCAGTACGATTTTTTGAAAATCATCAATTTCTTTTATTATTCAAATTTGTTCTTTTTTATCTTATTGGTTCTAAATCGAAAATGTTAAAGACGGGGAAAAATTTTTAACATCGCTATACGGTTTCTTAAAGTAGAAAGTTTGAGCTTTAATTTGATATCAAAATCATTTCTTCAATCATAAAAGTAAGCCCACAACGATTTTTTGAAAATCATCAATTTTGCTTAATATTTAAATTTGTTCTTTTTTATCTTTTTGGTTCTAAATCGAAAATGAGAAAGATGGGGAAAATTTTTTAACATCGCTATACGGATTCTTAAAGTAGAAAGTTTGAGCTTTAATTTGGTATCAAAATCATTTCTTCAATCCCAAAAATAAGCCCACTACGATTTTTTTTAAATCATCAAT